GGAGGGATTGTTCCCTCTGTTCAGCACTTGCTAGGCCATATCTGGAAGATTATGACCAGTTTTGTTGTCTCCCAACAGAAGAAAGAGATTGATAAACTGTCACAAGTTCAGCAGAGGGCCACCAAGACGGTCAGGGGCTGGAGCACCTGCCCTGTAAGGACAGGCTGAGGGAGCTGGGCTGGGGAAGCAATGGCTTCAGAGGTTCTAACAGCAGCCTGCTTATCCCTATGGGGAGTGTATCAAGAAAGAAGAGCCAAGCTTTTCATAACATTGCATGATGGGATGAAGCAAGACAGCAGGCTTGTCTTGAGACAGAGAAGTTCATACTGGACATAAGGAAAAGCTTCTTCATGAAGGACAGTCAGATTGTGTGGCAGATTGCCCAGAGTGTCTGTGCAGTCTCCATCCTTGGGGACTCTCAAAACCCAACTGAATAAAGCCCTCAGCAGCCTGGTCTGAACTCAGAACTGACCCTGCTTTGCACAGGAGGTTTGACAAATGACATTCAGAGATCTTCCAATCCAGATTATTCTACGATTATATGTTTTTTTACCTCTGTGTGTGTCTTATGTGTGTGTGTGTGTATATATATACACATATGTATTCTGAGTAATGAATAATTAGTTACAGTTGTTTTGCAAAATATGTTCTTGGATTCTAAAAAGAAAAATATCCGTATTGCTCAGCCCTTCTAGTTGAAGGGCCAGAAATACATTCATTATATTTCAATTGATATTTTTAATTATAGTTGGTATTTCTGAGCCATTTACATGTGAGAGCTAGCTAGCCTGTTGGTAAGTGGCATTTAGATAATGAAGTCTTGCATCTCTTTTCAAGATAACGTAATTTTGTTCTAATATATTAATAGCTAGTTTTAGCCTGTACTGTGGCTCTGTTTTTTCAGTGTTCCTTTCTAACACCTATTGAATCTGCTGCACAGTTTTAATCAAATTTGAAGGACAGATAGATGTCTCAGAAATAAGTAAGTCACTGGGTGGAGTGCCTGCATTAATCCCTCTGTTGAGGGAAGGGCAGACACAGCTCATCAGTTACAACACTTCTGATTATATCTTTTTTTGGGGGCTTTATGCAAGTAACAATGTCCTGTTTTACTCCATAGCTGTAAGGACCATAACAGGACAGCTGGGTTATTGGGGTGAGGAGAGGCCTCTGGAGCCAGGAGAGAAGAGAGGAACAGCAGAGGACTTGGACCTTCAGAAAATCAAGCTCCCATTATTCTGCTGCTTGCTTTCTGAGGAAAGGCTTGTCAGTGGCTTTCAAAGTGCTTTGGAGGATACCGTGATCCATTTTGTGTGATCAGCATGAACACTGTGTGATTTCACTAATGTCACAAGGTAGTAGAGCTGATTTCTAGTTCAGGACTCATGCCTTGGTGTTGTGCTTTGAGTGTCTGAATGCTGATGACTTGGAGATGGAACTTGTCTCATTTAAGGAGGAGCCATCTGAAAATAAAACAGGTCCATAGCAAGAATCACTGTGAAAAAATAACTACAGCTTCTGTCTTGAAGAATCCGAATAGCTCCCAAACTTCTAAACAGCTTATGTGGTAAGATAACTGTAATGAGACCTGATCCTCAAGCCTTTTCTCTCTTTTCAGTGGCTTTGCTTGGCTGTGTATGGCCAGCTGGGGTCAGGTTGTGTCCAGCTGAGCGCCTCATTTCTCCACTAAAGGTTCAGGACGCAGTTTCACTGCTTCTCCAGAAATAACAGCTTTCATCGCTTCCCTTACCATTTTATCATGTGTTCATGGTAAGAGCAGGAGCACACATGCTGTTTCTGGCACAGAGGAGGAAATAACCGGTTAAGAGGACAGCTTCTTTTGGGGAGAGTGATGCCTTAAAATGCTTGTGAAAGTACAGCCTCAGGCATTCTTGAGCTTTCTGTTTCACCATCTGAAGGGATGCCATCTACACTTTTTTTTTTTTTTTAAAAGCTTCTGAAAAGCTTAGTCTGTTTTATGAGGGATGTTAGGTATCTTAGATATTTATGTAATTATACTAATTAAGTGCTTTTATTTATTGTCTTATAAGGAAATGCTTGGTATTTTTGGATTCATGGTCTTCAGAGAGGAGATGAATTTCCTGCTAAGGTTTGGAATATGATTTTTTTCAGATGCCTTCAGAGAAAAAAGTAAACTTGAAGGGTGATTACAGAATATTGGCTAATTAGCTATAGTGTAACTGCTTTAATTACTTTTATCCCTGAAGCCACATGACTGTGCAGATGACTAGCAGATGACTTATTTAAAAAAAAAAAAAAAAAGACGTGTTCACACTGCAAGGTTAATGAGCCTAATTAAAAATAGTTTTCCTTAGCCAGATACTAAATCATAAAGCTTGGGGGAGGGTGGGAGGGGAAGAATCCGAAAGCAGTCAGTTCTATTTCAAATAATGGTTTTATTCTGATTTTTAATGGAAAAAAAAAAAAAGCTGGAATTGTGAGTGATTTTTCTGAATAGAGACACTTACATTTAAAAATTTGGTGAGACCTCACATGGCAAAATTTGAAAGTCTATTTAGAGACAATTTCGCTGAGACATATTTGTTTTCACTTGCCCACTGCTTTAATTAATGGAGAAGTGGGCTTGAATAAAAGGTCTGTGTTAGATAGAAGTCTCCATCTGCTGCTGGGTATTACCAGAACCTTTGTCCTTCCTCGCTGTGTGTTTTTTTTTATTACACTATTTTATTTCCTTTAGTAAGCTGCATAATTTCTCACATTAAGTTGTACTGACAGGATCGAATTCTGGTATTTTTTAAAAATTAAACCTTTTTTTAAGTTTTCTGCCTGTGCTGTGCACTTCTTTTTTTCTTTCTCAGCAGGTTTCAAAAGTTATCTTGATCAATTGGATTATGATTAAATGATTCTACCTGACTACTTGGCTTCCTTCCTTCCTTCCTGCCTTCCTGCCTTCCTGCCTGCCTGCCTGCCTGCCTGCCTGCCTGCCTGCCTGCTGCCTATGGTGGCCCAATGGAAATTTATTTCTTACCATGTTGGAGCCTCAACCTTAGAGCAACTGCAGAGGATATAGAGGTTTCACTACCTTGTATTTCAACTGTCTGTGTTTCTATGGTTTGCAATTATTCATATTCAAACCCAAGGAAAGTTGTAGTCATAGGTTTTGTTGCAATAGCTTTTCTCACCTGAGCAGATAAGCTTTGAAAGTGGAGGGAAGTGATGAGGGTTTGTTGTTCAGTTTGCAACTTCACAAGCTCCTCCTTTTCTTTGTTGCCATACAGTGAGACTGATGCTAAATTCTTAAATAAATCCTTAAATTCCTTAGGATTCCTTTGAAATGCCTTCTTTGATTTACTTCTTCTGCTTTTGGCCAACATTTTGACCTTGTAGGTACTGCTCATTAAATTACTTGTATGTGATAATAGGAAAGTGGTAGCAAGGTGGCTTACTATGCTCAGAACAAGATTTTACTTAGCTGTGTTTCATGCCTTTGTCCTGCATTTCCACTGAGTCATGTTTACCCTAAATTGGTTTCTCCAGAGCTTTTTGTAAGTCTAATTGTGAAAACAACTTGCATTTACACATATTTTAGCTACTATACTAGTTCTGCACTTTTTTTGGTCATTATAACTATAAAGTAGGAAGAAAAAAAATTAGGATAAGATATCTGTACAAAATTAGTGATTCTGTTGATTTTTTTTAAAGTTTTAAACCTCTTTTAATCAATGTGCTCAAGGGAAATGCAAGTTTAATACAGTACTAAAGAAGACTCATAGAGATGAGATGCTCTTAATTTAAGTCACCCAGAATTATTATTTTAGTATCTAAGCCCATGTCCATATACTCACCTTAACTGATGGTGATACTTGATGATCGGTGGTGGTAACTTGATGATTGGTGATTAATGATTGTTGATGCTGTTCTCAGAGTATTTTCATGGATTGCTTATATGATTAAAAGAATTATATATGATTTGGGATATGAGAGATTTTAAAGATACTCTGATTTTTTTTTCCTATGTAGGTCTGTGAGAAGTTTGTGTTTATTAACATTCAAAATGACACTTTTGGTTTATCATACTAAGCAGAAATTTCAAGATTCAAGAGCCTGGACCCTTAGTTCTTTATCTGCCAGTTACCCTTCTTTAAGCAGTGTCCAATTTTTGGTACTTCTGTTTTTAGACAGTTCAATTATTTTAGTAAACATTGAGCATCTGCTTCTCCGTGGGTCTGGTTATTGTTTGTGGATACTGAAACTCATTGAAATTGTGAGCTAGGTTGTCTGCAATGGTCATCTGAAGGAATTCACATCTTGAAGATGTTGCCCCCAAGTCTTCTTGGGTGCTTGGCAAAGTGAGCACTTCTCAGGCAGGCATGCATCTCAGCAACTTCCAGGCAAGTATTGTTGCCCAGGAATTCAGTGCTTCAGGAAAATTGTAGTTAGTCAGGCCCTAGTAGCAAATTCAGTAGACAATAACAACCCAAGTGCTTTCTTATGTGAGTGTATGTGCAGAGATTTTGGTGACTCTGTGTGGTACGGTTCCTGTAAACAAAGGTTCATGCACACAAAGAATACTGTCGTATCCTGGGTGCCAGCAGACAAGCAAAGGACTGAATAAATGTTACCATATCTTGAAATCAAGAAGTAACTCAGCAAGCAATGACAGAAGGCTGTTTTGTGTTTTTTTAATTTTTTTAAAATATGCTGCAGTATAATAAACTTAATAGTCCAGGATTGGTAAGACAGTGTCATGAGCAATAAGTTAATTCAGTTGTAATGGCAAACAAAACACCCTGTGTGAAACATCCAGTTCACAGATCATACCCTAAGAGAAGTTAATGCTATTATAATATTTTGGACCGGTGATAAGTATGCAAGCCCTTAAAAGGACATAAAAGCACAACGTGCTCTTCAGAGGTCCCAAACCAAGCTACAACTTTCTTCTGAAGTCCCACACCATATCTTAAAAGAATACAGAAATGGATGAGACTTTTTCTTCTTTTTTTTCCCTCCCCAGAACTTGGCTGGATGTCAAAAGTGCATGTGAATCGACCTGCAGTTGTGAGGTATGCAGAACGAATTCAGAAATGGAGAACTGTGAAAGGTAATTGGCAAGTAAGTGCTCTTTTTATGCATTCTGTTCCTGTATTTTTAAAGCAGTCACTCTCCTCTCCAGGCTGCAATATTGAATTTTTTTTCAAGATGCATGTAAACTTAAAAGATGTGCTTGTCCATGTCTTATTTTAATAATTTGTATTTGATGATGATGGGATGGAATAAGGTGACGTATTTATCCAAACAAGTTAAAAACCTTATAACTCATGAGTGGCAAAACCGCAAATGAATTTAAGTCATCTTTATTCATGAGTGGATTAAATTGTATATTACTATCCCACCACATTTATTCTGTCTCCCAGACAGACTTCTCTGCACGCTGTGTTCTTATTTTTTAATTTTAAAGCTGTAAGATATAATCGTGGTCCCTGTCAAGTTTGACCTACCTGGATGATTTTTCTTTACTTAAACATCCCCAATATGTGTGATTTCTTTGCTTAACTAGTTCTTACCTAAAGCTTAAATATTCAGACTTTCTATGGCATTAGAGGGGAGAAAGAAGGAAAGAAAGAAGGAAAGAAGGAAAGAAGGGAAGAAGGAAAGAAAGAAAGAAAGAAAGAAAGAAAGAAAGAAAGAAAGAAAGAAAGAAAGAAAGAAAGAAAGAAAGAAAGAAAGAAAGAAAGAAAGAAAGAAAGAAAGAAAGAAAGAAAAAGAAAGAAAGAAAGAAAGAAAGAAAGAAAGAAAGAAAGAGGAAGGAAGGGAGGGAGGGAAATGTTAAGGGGGCTGACTTCTCAACTCTTCCATCTTAGTATAACATAGATTCAGGTAAGTCACCACTAAAGCCAGTGCTGCGAATGACCTTCTCTTCAAAGCTATACATTTAATGTCTCAACTGTTACTGTCAGCCTTTGCTGTTATTGCCCCCATGGCAGAACTGTCAGATAACTGGGCCAGTATGCATTCTGGTTTCTCTATGTATGTGAGAATCATAATGCAAAGCCATCAGGTCAACAATGTAATCTAGTATCTTCTGCAAAGCAGAGACAGTGAGGCACGGCTGCATGGTGGTTCCGCAGCAGGAGAGGAAGCACTGAGAGGGGAATGGCAGGCAGAGCTGGCTGCAGGGTGCTAAAAATGCTTTTCCAGCATTCAGCCAAGGGCAAGGTCCCTGGGAAATGCTGTGGAGGAGACCTGGAACTCCTAGTGAGCTCTTAGCTGTGGCGTTGTAACTGGTGTCCAAAGACAAGTTGATTCTTCATTCATAAAGCAGCTGTTCTGCAAGGAAATGTGTGTGATTCCTTCCCTCTGCATGCTAACAAGTTGTTTACTTCCAACAGTAGCTGTTAATATGGAAGCAGGAGGAAGGAGACACTCAAGGATCAATCTTAACAGTCCAACATAGTATAATAAAGCAAGAATCATTTAATTATACTTAATTCTTAAAAGAGCTGTTCAGAATCATTGGTATCCTCAGCTTAGCATGTCAGGCAGTCATTCTGGGGTGGCTGAAGCTGCGTTCATAATGAGCACAGGTCTTGCAGGTGACATTTTGGGGATAATTTGATGTAGCTATAAGGTCCTACTGGAAGGTGATAGAAAAAAGCTTACTTCCTGTTACATGAACCTGAAAGTTTGTGCTTTGAATGTTATGATTAAATAAAAAAGGGACATAAACTGAGGAAGGTTAGACATCAGCTCAGCATTTCTCAAGAGTTTCTTATGCATAAAAAAGCACTTGATAACAAGTTTGGCAGTCCAGTGACTCTGGGTTGGGAAATAGCATCAGTGAGAAAATCCAGAGGGTATTCCATAACCTTGGCCATCTTCATATACATCAGGAATGAAGAAGTTTTCTGATTTGGCCAAAGTTGCTATAGAAAGAAAAAAGAAATAACCACAGGCTTTGATTACAAAGAATCATTGGGAAGAAAGGGATTTAGTATCACTCCCTCAACATGGCTGTAGTTCAAATGTTTGATTATTACTAACTCCATTCTCCTGTGTAGTAACACTGGTACTGAGCTACTTACGTAAGGTTTTATTTTGAAGAATGCCAGAAGCATCTCTCCTGTATTTAAACACTGTCATTGGAGGATAGTCATGTGCTGTTTATTTCACAAGAGATGATTTTGAACCTTTACATCTTTGAATCTAAGTAGCACCACAGACTCAAATTTTGAAGCCCATTCCCCAAAATACATATTTGAAAAACTCTTTAAAAAAATGTTCATGCCAGTTCTTGGGACTCTCTGACTACATCTGTCTTGATGACTTTATGATTCATGTCATAAGAGATAAGACAAAAATTCCCTCAAATGAAGGACAAAATAATCCAAGTAAAAGAAACTTAAAACCATTTAAAGTGAAAAACCCTTCTGAAGTATTATAGGGTGAAAGTTAGAAACAAGCAGTCAAGCTTAGACTGACAGAGGCCAGTAGTGGTTCATTACTCTGTTCAATCAGCCCAAAGCAGTTTTCAGTGTAACATTTACTGCAGGTTCGGAAAGGAGACTCCTATCAGTGAAGTATGAAGGGTTTGTAGGCTGCCAGCCACTTAAGATTTGCAGACTCCATGCAGAAGCAACAAGTTTTGCTGCCTGTACTGACCAATCGTGTCACAGAGCAGAGAAGTCAAGATAGGGACTTTATGGTCTCAAATGGACTTTGCCATTGCGAACTCTCCCCTTGTTGAACAAATGCCTGCTAAGAGATGTCAGCTTTGTGAAGTCATTGCTGTAAATGAGAATTTGCTGGAAGACCTTCAATGAATATTTCAAAATAATGTCTTCAGCTCAATTCTTGTTCATCAAAAAAACCTCAAAAAAATTTTAGTTTTGCTTCTGTTCCATTCTCTGATTAATAAATCTTTTAAAATTCTGTAGCATTTTCATCTGAAGAGTGCTTTAGCCTTGTCACTTAGCTCTTACTTCTTTTTTTTTTTCTCACCAAATAATTACAGATGCTTTTTATTCCTGATTCACACAAAAGCATGTGGAAACATCTGGAGTCTAGACCCTAAGTTTTAAGAAATCTGGGTTCTTACCCCCCACTGATTCCATGTTTCACTCTCACAGCAGGAGAAGCATGCAAGCATGCAAGTGTGCAAATTGCTGATGTGTAGATTCATTTGGTTACTGTGCAAACCTGTGCTCCTCTGGAAGGATATGTGTAATTTCTCTTGCATGCAAGCCTTAAAGATTCAGACATACTATATAGAATGGCACATATTATAACAGTGAGGTTCTTCACTTTTTGTCCAGGTGAAAATGTTTGATTCTTACAGAGTCCCATTTGGCAGTTAGCTTTTGCACCAAAAATTGGAATTTCATCCTTTGATTCTGAGAGAGTGGACTTTTGATTCCAAATCCTTACTGTACCAATACTGCTCGAGACATGGAGACATGAAAAACTGTCTGTCAACCCTGTCTGTCATAAATCATTCTTTGCATATCCTCCATGTTATATCTCCTGTGTTTCCTTATTCTTAGAGTGAGAGCCAGGCTTCTGATTCCTGCATCTTCTAAGTCAGTTTGGCTTTGGAAGTGTAAATTGAAATACTGTATTCCTTGCTTCACTCCCTTTGTAGGCTGCTTGGTTTCTGAAAGCTGTCACCTGTATAGACCTTACCACTCTTTCAGGAGATGATACTCCTTCAAATGTTTACAGACTGTGTTTTAAAGCAAAACATCCCATCAGAGAGGATCTGCTGAAAGCCTTGGACATGCATGATAAAGGTATGATAGTTTTTGTTGTATGTATTTTGTAGAGAAAATGTCTACATTTCCTCATTATTTTTTCAGTTTTCAGAAAGCTGTAGAAATGGCCTCCTTCTTCCTGTAATGGAATCAGTTATGGTAGGCAGTACTGCAGAGCTAATAGTCCTGAGAGAACAAACTAGGTCCTATATGGTCTTACTCAAAGCAACTGTCTTAAGTTCTAAGTGCAAAATACCTATTCCTTTAATACAGGAATACAAGGAGAAAAAAAACATTTTCAGTTTGGCAACCAAAGGAAAGCATGGACTCAGGGCAACACTGTAAGTTATGATACCTAATGAGCAAATTTGATGTGGAAACCAGTAGTGCATAACCTCAGTGTATGTCTTTTAATAACAGTGCACTAAGGTGAAACTAATTGAGCATTATGTTAATCTGCTTATGTCCTTAGTAAATTGGAGAAGGGGGGAGTGTTCATGTGACTCCTTTGGATTTTGTGCTTAGCTGCTGTTCTGTTTGTAGCTACCGAGCCTGCCATTTTGCCTATCAGAAAAAAATGCATTCTACAGTCCTAAGAATGTAATTTTTCCTTCAGAAAATACTATCTTTTACCTGCTTGTTTCAGTAGTTAAGACAGGAGACATCTTTTCAGCCCATTATCCTTTAAGGAATCAGTCCTGTAGTGAGTGTATGCAGTTGTGTGCATATCCATGTATACACACACACACACACACACACACACAGAGTTCCCAGCTAAATCAACAGAGCTGAAGGGGCTGAAGACAGTCCTTAAGAACTGGTCATAAAACTTTCATTGACATTACTCAGGCAGGCTCCATCCCAGTGTTACACTTAAGAGTGAACAGAGACTGTCAATATAACTATCAATAAAACTTCTTTATATCTGAGCAGCATTTCTGAATTTTTCTAGATGTAATCACTGATGTGTCAGTGAATACCATTTGACTTTTGTCCTGTCATGTTGGCCTTATGATCTATAAAAAGAAGATCCCAGCGACATTTGGGGCATGCTTTTACTATTTCAGTTTTACACAGGCATTGGTCCACTGATTGAAGTCATATGATGTAGAACCAAAGGGGGATCAGGCCTTTGGTTTTAAGCCATACAGATAAAATATCAAAGATTAGTGTTTTTTTAAAAACTTGGATTTATGAACTCTTCAGATAGCTGAAGTATTAAATATGAGGTCAATTATCTGAGACTTTGAGAGAATACCATTTTAACTAGAAATGCAGTAGAACTACATTAACATAAAGACTGCTCAGTTGCTGCTGGGCTCAGTCTGGCTCAACAAGTAATGACAGAGCTTGGCAGTGTGGTTTCTCTCGCAGCAGTTTGCTGACTAAGCATGTCTTTACTGTACGTGTTGGTTTTAAACAGTGAATCTGTTGATAAAAATCTTGGCGTTTTAACTCCTGCTAATGTAAACTTGGTCCCAGGATCAGGTTAAAGAACATGAGGGAGGGAACAATATGGAGAATTACCTGAACCGTGTGAGCAATATAACAGACATCCCTAGTGTAGGTGCTTAAGATCCATGTGCGAATGCACAAGTGGGAGGTGAGAAGAATGTGCACATCCTTATAACATGGATTACACTCAAGAAGGTGGAAATCTATATGTGAAAAGTGAACTGTGGCTTTTGCAGGTATTACTGTCGGAGCAGTTTGTGTATATCCTGCAAGAGTCACCGATGCTGTTAATGCCCTAAAGGCTGCTGGTTGTAACATTCCAGTAGCTTCCGGTAAGCTTTATTCAAACAATTAAATATTTTTATGATATAAAATATGTAGAAAAATCCAGAAGTTTGGACTTGCTTTTGTTTCAGAGAGTAAGGTGAAAAAGTATTGTATCAGGTAGAAGGAAGGGAATGGATGGGAGGATTTGCTTCTGGTATAATCTTTTGTTTTCTTTCAACTTCAAGCTTATCAGGAATGCCAAATCTGTTTTGCTGGAAGCTCTTCAAAGAGGTCCTTAAGATATGTCAGTGTTTTCCTCACCCAAATAGAAGAAATTGAGGTAGTATGCTGGACAGAGTATCAGGAGACACTAAGTAAATGATAATAATAATCAGAACAACAATAATAATATTGTGATATGAGCTTTAGGAGTTCTAATACAAGGGGATTTTTTCCCTATCAGTTTTTTGGCTTTTAAGTATAATCCTGCAAGCTGGATTCAGTGAAGCTGTATGCAGAGGCAAGGGTTATTGTCTGCTGAGCAGCACAGAGGTTCAGGACTTGTACTTCCAAATCTAGTAGTGCCAGCTCTTCCTCCAGTCACCACACATGAGAGAAAAGTCCTGAATCTACAATAAGCAAGAGGCAGAATCAAAGAATTATGTAGGTTGGAAGGGAGCTCTGGATGTCATCTAGTCCAACCTCCTGCTCAAAGCAAGAGCTAATTTTGAAGTTATATCGGGTGTTTAATGCTAAGATCCATGTTTTCTGGTAGTGTTGTTTCACTGTTGTGTAGGGGAAAAATACATATTAAATGCATTTATATGTCAGAGAGAAAAGGGATTATTTTTTCCATTTCTGAAGTTACCTTTGGATTTTGTACTTGAACATCATTAATGTAATCTTAAGTAGACGTCATTGAAAGAAATTTTTGTGATATTGTGATTTAGCTGTTAAATATATTACTAGGATTTAACTTGAAATACTACTTAAAAGAATGGAGGAGAATTAATGTATTGCTTCATGTATGAGTTCAGTCCTTGTTTGCTCAGTTCTGCTGGAAACAATAGATATTGTACTTTCTCACGTAGGCCGCTTTGGAAAAATTTAAGTCACGAGAAAGAGACCTTTTCACAAGGTGCACTTAGTATCTTGCTGGACATTGGTTCTTGAGGGAAGAGCTAATGCTTCTGGATGAAGAGAGGGCAGGATGAGGTGCCTTTAGATTTTTTTGAATCATGGTAGGGATAAAAAAAGAATAGCTTTCAAACTCTTTGGTGTATTAGAGGTATATGCAATTTTATGGTCAATTAATAAAACATTTTCTTGCCTCTGCCTGCATCCCCTTTCTTGATAGTGGCTGCTGGTTTTCCATCTGGACAAACTCCTCTGGAAACCAAACTGGCTGAAATAAAACTAGCTGTGGAATATGGTGCCAGAGAGATTGACATTGTCATTAGCAGGAGTCTGGTGCTGACTGGCCAGTGGGAAGGTAAGTACCCACCCTTTGGCAAGGAACCTAAACCTCTGTGAATGTACACATGCAAGTTATATCTTTGTCTCTTCCCCATCTCCACACCAGTCCTTGAAGAATTGGTCCCTCCCCTAAGAGTATTCTGAGGCACTGAACTAAATAAAAGCTATTTAATTTATGATGAATGGTTGCATTTTTTGAAAAGAATGCTGTTACAAGCCCTGTCAGGCTGGGCATGTGGAATGACTTTGTATTTTGAAAATTCAGGTCTATTCCTTCTATGCCTTTAGAGGATTTTGTGTACAGGATTAAAAAAATAGCAAGTGAAGTGGAAGTGAATGCCTAATTACTTGACCAGTTTTGTTAAAACCCCCAAGGGATTGTAACGTGGATGATACCTTGTTAAATATACCTGTTTCAACTCTTGACAAAAATATGTATTTTAGTTGATCTCTTTTTCCTGAAAATTGAGGGTACAAATTGACTGTTCATATTATTATTGATGTTCTTGTGTCTGCAGACTACTACTAATTAGTAAGAACAATAATGCTGAAGATGATTTTGCTCTAATTGCCCCCTTAATGTATTGTGAATGGTTTGCCTTAAGTGCTGATAGTGGTCCTATAACTAATCTCCATGTGAAGGTAAACACCTCATTGTCTTGGAATGAATTGTCCATTTAGTTGTATTGCAGTGCTGTAATTAGTCTCTTTGCTTGGAAGACTTCATAAAGGACCGCAGGTACATGAGTTTGGTTAAGGAAATACAGTTATTATGATAACAGATCATATTTTCTGATTTTGGTTTTTTTTTTCAATTAACAGTTAGAATTGAACCAACAACCCCACATGTTTCTGTGTCTGTGTCTTCAGGACTGATATCTCGGTTTCCACTTGCTGTAACATCTTGACGTCTTTTGTAGTATTTACCATCTCCATCCGTTTTTCTCTTAAATATATGGAGCTTTACAAATATTTGATTTCTTGAGGATGGGCATCGTTGCATACATTTGTTTCTTTCAGAATGGCTGTCTTAAATTCAGGTATGGCCTCAGAAATTGCTGTAATAAGGAGACTGGGTGAGAAGTTTTAACTAAGACATAATGATGGATCAAGTTCTATACCAGCTGGCAGCAAGACTATACGCACATCTTCCTACATTGTATCTTTGTTAGTGTCTACACTACACTACACTACTCTAAACTGGAGGGTACGCCCTTCAGGAGCTGCATTCAGCTGTGAATGTGTATTGGACTTGGATACAAAGTGAGCTGAGTCAGTAATCTGTCACTAAGACTGAAAAATGACCACTAAACTGGATTTAAGCAGCAACTTGCAATTATGTCTGAAAAAGTCCGCCTTGTAGCAGTTTCTGACATAACTGCGGTTGCCATACTTCAGACTTCATGGTACAAACCGCTGTTAACTGCAGGTTGCATGGAGCAGAGATCAGAAAATCAGCGCGTGTAGGCAATTGAAAATGCAGGCTCAAGGTTGTATTGCCTGGATTATGTGAAGGAGAACTCAGAGAAGAAATACAGGTCTGGATTTAGAGAGAAAGTTTGTATCGGTGATTGAAATCAACTGGACATACACTGTTAAGGTTTTCCGTGTCAGAAATGAATTTGGTTTTGTGATCACAGATTACAGGGGAGGAGTACACAGACATAGCAATGATGGATGTAGTATAAAGCTGTCAGTTTACTAAATGAGTAAATCAAGGGGTGACTTTTGATTCGGTATGCGTATTCTTTTATCCAGACTTGAGTCATGACAAGGTTGAAAGCCATCCATTTTTTTTTGGCAATGGTTAGTTAACATTTTTTTTACTGAGGGCAGAATTGAAATTATTTCCAAATATTTTCTGAAAGTTTATTGATGAACATAAGTCTGTGTGTGGCACATATTTACACGGTCTTGAAAAAAGCTTCCTCATGTACAGAATTTACTTGCCATCTAGATAATAATGCTACAGGGTGAAAAATTATACTATTTAACTTGCCTATCAAAAAAAAATTACTTAATTGGGTGTTCCAAATGCTTTGGTGGAAATCTAGTGTTCTCTCGTCCTGTTTAGCTTTCAACAGATGTAATGTTACCTGTGTGAACATGCAGCTTTCCATCTCTATCTAGTGGTTAGATATGATACACAGCAATGTATAAGGTATGTTTAAGGAAGCTAGAAGAAGGGATGAAGAAGTCTTTTTTAGGATGGATCCCTGTATTACATAAAATTGAAGAGTCTAGCGCAGTAACTATGCCAGTGTTCATTCAGAGTGCTTCATTAACTAGACCTGCCTTGCAGTTTTGACACAACCTCTGCGTATTCTTAAGATGCTAATATGTTTTTATTGCTATTTTCTCACGCTGCCTGTCTTCACAGCTTCAGGAGTTATTGACAAAAACATGTATGTGGTAGAGTGCTTCATCTTACTGTTCCTATATTTTTACCTTTTCTTCTATCCTGTGCAATAATTGAGGTCATCATGATAGAATAGTTTTGCTTTGTGATTTGTTTCAAAGGCTTGTTTGGTTATTAAATATTTTAGTGTATGTCCAATTATGTCAAGTTATTTTAAAGCACTTCTTAAATATTGTTGGAGCTCTTTATAACACTTGGAATATATTTTGTAGATCTTTATGAAGTAATTGTTAAGATCTTTTTAACAGTGCTGCACATGAAAGCAGCTTTATTGAACAGTTAATTTACACTGGAAAATAACATTAAATGAGATTTAAGTTTATGAACTTATATACCTTTTACAATTTATTAGCTTTTAAAGCAATGCTACTTTACAATAGTTTACTCAACCATTGTCTTGTATCACTTGACAATGTATGGGTTAAGCTTAAAAATCACATTTTAGATAGTCTTTAGGCAGAATGTGTCGCCTGTATGTAAAGAATTATGAAGTTGACTAAAAAATTGCTGAAAAAAAATGGATTTATTTCATTTTTTTCTTTTTTTTCTTGTTATCAATGAATATGTTAGAGTTGCTGTACCTTCTGAAGCTGTGTGGGGTGCTGTAATGTTACTTCTGGTTCCACAGCTTTTAGCAAACACCTGGACATACTACATTGTTGGTGGCTTCAGAGGTATTGTTAACCCATTGTTTGCTTTATGTCAGTTGAATTTTCCTACAAGAAAAGGGTAAAAAGACAGTACATTCTAAGCAGTTTGAAGATGGTTGCATGCATGAAATACATTAGGTAACCTCATTATGAAAGCTACTGTCTAATTCTGTTAATACGTATTCAACTGTGAGCTTAGAGGCTTTGTTCAGGAATTGGGGCCCCCTTTTGTGCTACATACTTTACAAAGAATGCAGAGGAAATACACTTCCCCCTCCAGAGACTTGAATAAGACTCCACATGTTGTTCAGAAATATTATAGTTGGATTTACTGTTTTCTAGATGTGCAAGCTGACTTCGAATCTTGAAGTCTAGTTGCACAATTTCTGTCTTACATTCTTAGCAGCAGCTCAGACTCCTGAAACCAAGCTCTATTTTCAGTTTCATGTGAATCACTGGAGCCTAGAGTTGCACATATGTGGCTGAGAGCAGAACTGAAAGAGTCGTGTTGTGCTGATAGCCTTGTGCTTGTCATTTTGTTAACAAACCTGCCATTAATGTGCAAGACAGAAGGGACTCCAGCTCTTTTTTCAGTTTCCCATCGTGATTACCTTGATCTTTCGGTCTAACAGAAATCAAAACATCTTCCCCCCTCATCACAGTTTCTACCCTTAACATCAGTCAGTGTGACTGACTAAAAAATAAAAACAGCAAATGAGCTAAATTAAAAAAAAAGAAAAAGTGTTTTTATCACCACATTTTTGGAGATGGGTTGTTTCGTAAAAATTTAAGCTGTGTTTTTTTCCCCTTAATATGAGTTATCCCCTTTATTCTGTGATTTTTAGGACAATATTAGACCAAAGCAAGAGACCATCTAGACAGTCTAGGGCAGATTATAGCCATCAGTAATTGTCAGGGATTTTTGCTTGAGAAATGTGGAGGGGGAAGAAAATTTTCTTTGGTGTATTTAATAGCTGCTAAAAATCAATATAATGTACTGAATAGTTAGAATTTAGGAAAACTACAAAAAAAGACACCTTCCAACACTTATCTTTTATAACAGTGAAATTAAAACCACAGCTATTAAGGTTTTTTTTTTCCTATAAAATCTGAATTTTTCTGACTTCTATAAATGCATTCAATAAAGCGGATCTAAAGTTCATGAAAGCAGTAAGATATCTTAAGTAAGTGGATGCAAAGTAGAAGGATTCTTATGTCACATCAATTTTAACAGTTAAGTCAGCGGAGCTACTAGTGACTACATCAAGTGAGCATCTGGCTCCAGATATATTCTGTATAGGTTGCCTTGCTTTGGGGACTTTTCTGGTGTTTTTAAAACTTTTTTTCCCCTGCTTAAGACTTAGACTTCTTTTGGAATGGATAGTATTGGTGCTGTGTTCAAGATGCTACACAGTACTGGCCATTTGCTTTGAGAGCTCTTGATTTTCTTTGCTTTGCTTTTAGCAGTCAGAAGGCGAGTCTCTTGTAACCTTTTCATCGTGGTCGTAGCTCACAGTTGAAAATATGCCTGCAGGGTTTTCTGTGATAGAGGTTTTTCCTAAGATCTTTGTGCCACTGCTGCTAACCAGAGAAATGCTATCTGCTGTGTCAGTTACTGGTGTTGTGCACAGGTTGCAGATATTCCCAGAACTGCAGTGTCCAGCTCTGCTCCAGCGTCCAGCTCTGCTCCTGCTCCTGTTCGGCTTGATGGAACTGAGTAGTTAAGTGATGGACTTTTTGGCAGCACTGACTCCAAGAAGCAGTCCAGGACCCCTTGAAACACTGTGTTTTCAGGTGTGATTAACTCCACCCATACTTTGCCAGGAAGTGTCAGGATAATCAAGTTATTTGTGCCTTGATTTAAATCTGACTGAGTACTGAAACATCTTTTTTTAATTTTGAAAGGAGTAAGAGTTTTTGAACTTGTTCTGTATCAAAGCAGTTCCTGCTTGTACTGGGACTGGGACACTCTGGTTAATATTCTCTGTCCTAGAGGTAGTTGCATTTCTATTTGTGCTTTTACTGTAAGGTTGAGAATGTCCAGCTATTGTCTGCAATAATTGATCTCTGAATAAGGAGCAGTGTTTATTACCTACACACCTACCCCATTAAAGTATGCCCACTTTTCCACCACCTCAGCTAACCTGATAGACGTGGATGATTGAAGATCCTCAGTTGTTCTTGTCCATGGGTTGATGCGTGCTGTCAGATAGCGGGACTGTTCAAATGATCTTGGCACTAATGGCGTATAAAATTACCTTCCAACAATAGGGAGGATGCTGTAGCTGTGGTACTAACTTGAGTGAACAACAGCTATGAAGATGCAATTTCTTTTCATGGAATCCAACCTAAATGTACATTTTGTTGATTTTCTTTTTACATTTTTGGTGGCATATCTTAAAGGTAGAGAAAACTCTGGTATTTTCTTCTTATTACCAAAACTAGAAGAGCATGAAAGCTGCTTTCTCTGGCTTTCCAAAATCTTCAGGAAAGAGTTACTCCACAAAAAGAGAATGTATTTGGATCTAACATGAGCAGTGTTATCAAATGCACAAGAAAATAGCACAGGTTCTTTGTATTTCCTTTTTGAGTCTTGATTTGATGTAGGTTTCTGGAGTATGATCAATTGATCAATAAAACATGTTAGACTGCATGCTAGTACTGATTAATTCACGCCTTTGGTACACAGTAAGAAACAAGGTGAAGCCTGGAGTCTATAAAGGGACTTGCTAAGTGCATTAGCCAGTTGTCTACTAATGCGTGTAGAATGTCTCAGAGGACCACCCCAGCAATTGCAGCCCTGGCCACCTGGTGTGCCGATGGCATCAATAGAATGCAGCAGCATCACGGGTGGAGGGGATGTCCAGCCATACAGCAGCTAACAAACCCTACTGTATGTTTCCAGCTCTCGCTTGAGGACTGAGGGGAAAAGAAAGCTAGTATTGCTGAAAAAAATGTAGTCTTCATAGCCATATCCTGGATTTTTTTAGCAAGAAAGATTTATTAAAAGCTGTATTTTAGCCTTCCATAAAATAACTTTTTGATTATATGTTTGAAGATTATGATTTGTGAAAAGGACTGTCATGCAAAGGATCCTGTTTGCTTATTTTGCATCTTTTTTCTTTTTTTTTTTTTTTTTTTTTTTTAGAAATGGTGGCTGTAAACTGTAAGAGCTGCTTTTCTCTCCATATTGGAGGAGTCTCAAACATCACCAAGTGGCCAGCTTCTAACAGCTGTTTTGATAATTTCTACCTCTTTTAGTCTCCCTATGTTTAGCATTTTGTGGGAGCACTGCTGAATTTTACCAAAAAGGGTGGGAGAGTTTCTCTGTGCTCTCTGTGTTGCCTTACCTGACCAGGTCCACAAGGTCTAGCCTTCTTATTTGGTCTAGCTGTTATGTCCAAATTTATTCTGGTCCATACTGAATCTGTGAAAATACAAAGCTGTTAGAAAGTTAAGCATGCCTCTGGCCATGACACTTTGTGAATCCAAAAGCAGGAGTTTGTGAGGGGGTGGTCTGCTCTAGACAATGTCCATGAGCAGCCAACTGCTCCAACTGACTGCTTGGAGATGAGAGCTAAGGGAGAGCTGTAGGTCAGAAGACAGACTGATAGCAAGAGGCCTTCCAAAGGCAGTGGAGCTCTCTGTGAGGAGCAACTCCAGGTCAGGGTTTGCTTTTTGTTTTCCAAGTAGTGTGAAGATAGAGAGATAATGGTTTGCTTTATCTCTGATCTAGAAGGCTTTATATGTCAGTCCTGCTGTCTGTGGCAGTGGGTGGAAGTGCTTGTATGTTTAACAGTGGCTAATGACAAACCTCCTTCTGGAACTCCAGCTGGCTTCCTCAGCGAGCATGGGCATCAGAAGCAAGGGTCCAGCTCAGCCCTTGGAGCTGTAGTTCCACAGCGTGCTAGACAGATGTTGTGCTGGCCCTCCTGCTGCAGTGCTTACTTCACCTTTGCTGGCACTGTCTGAGGTCACAGCACAGGATGGTCCAAGTCCTTGGTAGCCCTGTGGGCAATGCAACTACTTGAGGTGGTTTGTAAACACAGATCCATGTGGATTTGATCCTTATGGTGTGATCTCAGGCCTTGGTCTCTCCTCATCAGGTTTGTTAGAATTTTTTCAGAAAATTCTTATTTTTAAGAAGCTAAAAGTAGAATTCAGATGCCTAAACACAGACATCAAACTCCATAATAGAACTTCCCGAGATGGTCTCATGGCACTAGGGGGAATGGTAAGAAACCAGGGGGAGATGTGAAGCCTCCAGGAGTGGCAGCTGGAAGCGTCATGGCATCTCAGGTGACACTAATGTTTGTAATTAGACAACTTTGTCACAACTTTGGTGTCTTAGGCTGAGCACTTTGGCAAATTTGGCTGAAGGGGCTGAGAGGCTGATGATGTGATGTGGACAGGAAAATGTAACTGTCCCTTAGTACTACCATATTTATTTATATTTATTTCTGAAAAAGCTGTTTTAAAATAAATCTTTACTATCATAGCATTTTTTACTCCTGATGTATTCATGAGTGTTTGGCATACTGTGCACATTCTTAGTTTTGAGAGAACCGATATTAATAGCTATTAAGTCAAGTCTGAAACTGTGTGGCATTGTTAATTACCTCTAGTCATGTAATTTATTGAACTTACAAAACTCAAGTTCTTGAGTGCTATGACTAATTATAAGATTGGAAATTAATCCAGAAGTGGAAATTACAGCCATACTTGAAAATGTCTCTCAGGCAACTTTGATCATTTTCACATGCTTTTATCCACAGGTCTCTACGAGGAGATCCGTCAGTGCCGTGAGGCCTGTGGAGAAGCTCATATGAAAACAATCTTGGCAACAGGTGAACTGGGTTCCCTTACTAATGTCTACAAAGCCAGTATGATAGCTATGATGGCAGGTAAATATATGTGGTTTTCTTTTTAAGCTAAGATTGTCTTTGCTGTATTATTTATGAAGCTTAAAAAATTCTAGTCGTGAAAGTTTAGTTTTGCCGATTGTAGAAAAAACTATTATGCAGCAATTACTGAAGTTGCAGGCCTAGTAATGGAGTGTCACTTGTTTTGTGTAAACTACAAAAACTGCATGAAATGTTAAATATTGCTTAAAACTGCTAAATGACAAAATTCGAAGGAACAAGCAATATTTGTTGTCAAATGTCTGATCCTTGGTATGTTTAATAAGGAGACATACATTTGGGGCAGATACACAGTATCCAGGCAGTTGTGGTGAGCTAAGAATGTGGTGTAAGTAGATGCCTTGTAAGCTTATTTTAAATGCAGGGGGAACTTCCCTGTGAAGGTTCATGCTGACAGCTCTTGTTTCTGGTTTGCAATCATTTCTAAACACCCCTATGAGAGTGCAGTTCGACATACCAACTGTAGTGGAAATGCAGCGAGGGGAAGAAAACTCTGTGCTCCAGCAGGATGGACTAGGTTATAACTGGTTTTAACTGGTACACAAAAGAAGTGGCACTCACTACCAGCAATTAATTGGCACTTAAAAAGGTGTTCAGTCTTCCCCTGTCTTTGAAAACTCGATTACATCTGACCTGGTGTTTGGGATGCTGTCTTGTTTTTTATTCTGAACCTTTCAGCTGAGAAACACATTCCCATGAGCAGGATAGAGTTTTAGGGGCTACGGATAGTTTGTAGGTATTACTTTTTTGCATAGCTTTAGCCATTGCAGACTGAATGTAGCAAAGCATCCATTTGAACCCAGATTTACAGCAGTATATTCTCTCTTCAGCTTTGGGTTTGCACTGGTACAATTTTCCCTAGTTTAACCAGGATTTTAGGGTTGTGCTTTAATGCTGTCTTTAAGATGCAAAATTGGCAATTGACTGATAAGTCTGTGTTCTTCGAACTCTGTTCTAGACACCTGTTTCTTCCACTGTGCTTGAAAGAGGGCTTTTCAAGTATACTGATAGGGAGAAGTGTAAAGATATACTAAGAACCACTTGGGTTAGTCTGTCTTCTAAACTTTCCCTCATTTTTTTGTTGATTTTTTTTTTTCTGCTGTAAACTCTTCAGACCTGGAATTTCTTCTTATTTTAGAGCAAGAAAAAAATCATCCAAGTGTCTTGACAGTATTTAAATACATATTCAGCTTGCTGCTGACCTCATTGTTTCCTTACACAACACTATGCTTATCTACTTCAAATGGAATGGGAAGCATTTCAAGCTATTTACTTGTTCAGCTATAATGTCAGTTAGTATCATTACCTATAGAGGATCAGTATTATGCCAGTAAATACTGCTTTTCATTAGCAGAGGTGTAAGAACTACACATTTCCTGTCATTTAAACTGATCTACTAATCATTATGATCACTTTTTGTAACATGGAGTAGTGAAAAATTCAGGTTGTAAAGCGTTTTAACATTTTCAGATATTTTGCTGGTGTAGTTTTTTTGAAATACAGCAGATGGCTCTATTGTTAATGATTTTCCTTGCATAGTTACTTATTTTACAAGCTACTTATCCATCTGAATATGTGCAGTTATTTCCTTGTTTCAGTCTCTTGCTTATTCTTTATGGGTAGGTGTAAAAATAAGAATTTTTTTGTGCCCTATGTACATGTATTGAGGGTCAGATTTTCAGACTCTGACTTGTCAGAACCTCAGATTCCAGTTGAATTTTGTTTGATTTGGGTATTTGTAGCATTTTGGGGAGAAAGTAATTTTGCATAGTAGTTTTAAATTCTAGCTTTAGTATCCTTTTTTTTTTTTTTTTTTTTTTTTTTTTTTTTATGATATAAAAGAAAAAAAAACAAAGGAAAAAAGCAGATAATCTTGTGGATATGGCAGGCCATGGCAACTCTTTTCTAAAGATAAACCAGCAACAACTCTGATAAACTTGACTCTAGTAATTAGTTTTATATGGGGAAATTAGTTACACAGTATAGTGAATTCAACTGCAAAACTGGCTTTAGAAGTTTTTGCTGCCTCTGGCTAATTGCTCCTGCCCTTTACACCAAAATTGGGTGTTCCTTCAGCTGTGCTGTTAGAAGTGCTCGTCATGCTGCATTGTAAGCTGAGTTTGAAAATTACATTTTAAGCTGACTTAAAAATTATTCCAGAAAAGGGTTAACTAGTGTGCTGTATGTTTTTTGTCAGTGAGGTTTTTTTTAATGGGTCACAGCCTCAATAATCTGTGCACAGCCTTGCCTTGCATATGATTGTATCAGTGCAACTGAGGACATGGTATGTAGTCCTTAAACTGTTTTCACTTCACTATGTGTAATGTAAGCCTATGATGTAGGGAGTGCAAAATCCTAGATATACAGGTGTTTACATTGTCCTTGCTGAGCATGCACACATTCACCTACATCCTGAAGCACAAAGTCACTAGATGTGGTGCAACATGTATATGCTATATATGTATTTCCCATGGATCTCATTTGTGAGACTCAGAAGACAAGAGTAACACAGTGCTGATTTATCAGTAGTTCTGTGGTTAAAAAGCTTGCCTGTGATGTCTGGGACTTGATCTCTCTGACTGAGGTTCTTTACCCACACAGAGATCAATTTTACAGTGTATTTGTTGTTAAGGATCTCAGTCCCTCCCGATAAACACACAAAGCAATTAACCAAGCAGGCAATACAGCCCAGATGTCTCCTCTCCCAAATAACTTTCCAAAATTTCTATACAGTCTTCCTCATGCTGGCTAGAGGAAATATTGGTGCATGCTGGGAACCAGCATGTTACGTTTGGTTTGACTTAGCTAGCAGGTGGAGGTTCAGCCACTGGACACGAGGCCAGTTGCACAGATCACTGACTTGAAAAAGGATGGTAAAAAATGTGCACCTCCGCACAGGCTTTTGGAAGTATGCTAAGAGCTGTGCTCCGGCTGGGGTGCTGTGCCCGTGCACTTTTATATTCAAGGCAGATTGCATAGGCCGCTTCTGTGGGCAAACAGCTGTACTCTGAATCACAACCCATGCAGGACTCAGCAGAAGCCATTCACTGTACGCCAGTGAGTGAGGCTGAGCCCAGTGAGACATACAGATCCCAGCAGTGCACTGGAGGTGGAGACCAGTTGTAGAAACAGTGCTTTGCACAACATGCCTGTGTACAAGATGTTAATGCTTGCGCCTGCAAGAACTTGGGAAGAAGTGTTGCTTCACAGTGTGGTATGAGAATAATTTGCCTCTATTTGAAGCAGTGGCTCTTGGCTCCTCCTGTGTCTGCTATCTCCAAAGCACCATGACTATCTTTTCTTCCTTCTCTACCACATAAGGAGAAAGACATCAGAATGGGAACAGGCACCCAGTTTCTTAAATTCTTTTAACCATACCTTTACAGATTTGACTGACATGCAATAAATTCTTCTGGAATATTTAAGAACCTATTTCTGAGTGAAAGATGCTGACAGCCATCTAAGGACAGTGACTCACCTGGCAAGAATAATCCTTGCAGTGCTAAGGAGGACATAATAGGTAGGATTGCACATCAGAGGCTCTGTGTCACTACCAAAGGAGCACATTTTTTTCAGAAAGCTGACCAAGAGAAAATCTCAGCATTGAATCAGGGAATTTTTGGTCATTGGTTTATAATGTCCACTGCCATTTCTTGAGCTTCTTGAAGTTCTTGGTGGTAGTTTGAGTACATTAGCTTCTTAAGGGAAACTGTCTGCATCTTCAACTCTACCAGACAGCTTCCAGAGAATGAGTTGAGCAAACTATTCAGTGGTTTTCACTGTCTGGTGTATACTTGTGTGTCACATCAATTTCTACAGGAGACACTCAAATCTATGTCTCCATAGCCTCTTGGATTAAACAGTCCTAAGGAACACAGATGGGAGTGCCTGACTCCCCCATACTAGTGGTAGCTATTCTGGTTTTTCATCATGGTGTCTTTAAAAAAAAAACCCAGATCTTGTACAGAATTCACTTATGACAGCTAGGCCATTTTTTAACTTTTGTTTTTGGACACAAACGTCAGAAACTGCCAAGGAAGCCAGGCAAGGAAGGGGAAAAAGGTGAAGTTGCAGTGGGAAAGGAACACTTCAGTAAAGGTGTGGGTGACTTAATTGCATATTTCAGTCATATGTAAGGGTTTTATTTTGGAAAATCACATTTTAACCATATTATGTAATTACAAAATCTTTATTGTTTTGTGTAACAATTCATATTAATTAAGATATACAAACTGGAGGGGAGAGGTGGAGAAAGTGATTAAGTAAATGTACTGTACTTTAAAAGTGAAAACTGCATCTGTGTCATTTTGACTGTGAAAGTTGGTCTTGATAGTACAGCTCCTTTTATGTCACCTTTGGGAAGCTAAACAAAACAGCAGTGACATGTGAAAGATATTAGATATACGTAATGAAAACAAAACATGTACCTGTGGAAAGGTCAAGAAGGAGTGATATATGTTCTGCAGCTCTACTAAATGTATGGGTTTAAAACAATTTTTTCATAGGTCATTAAGCAGTTAGTCAAATAAATTGTAAGTTGAGATACAGACTAATTTAAGAATTTAATTTAGAAAGGGAATGAGTTAGTGTTAAAACTAACTTCTAAAGACTCTAGAACAAAAAACTGCAAAAAGTAGCAAAAGATGGCTGAGGCAATAAGGTCTCTAATGCTGATAGTCTAGAAGGAGAAAATTAAAACACATTAAATGTGTGATCAGAATTTTTTTTAGATGCTTTGATACTGTTCATTCCAAAGTGAACAGAAATAATATAGCCAAACAGTGAGGAAAAGCTGTGCCTTGCAGTTCTCAGAAGAGCCCACTATCAATCCGTCCAGGATTGATCCTGCTTTACATGAGTGGTTCCAGTTAATACACACTTACCATTTTCACAGCAAACCTTACCAAAACTTAAAGGCACAAGTATGCTGGCCTTGTGGTAGATCCAGAGAGACTGGCTGAGGCCTACAGTATCCAGTCTTT